GGCATTGGCCGTCACACCCTTCACCAGAAAGGATCCTGAATTGAATGACTGGGTTTGCCTAGAGTTAATCAAGATTACACTTTTTACTATTAAATGAAATGGGTCATATAAATATAGGTTGGGTCAAATTATGGAAAAACTAAGGAAATTAAATGCAGTACAAATCTGTAAGTGGCTTGAAAATATTGCTCCTGCTACATGTGTAAAATATGTATATAAAACAAGAAAGTTATGATAGGGTAGAGGGAAGATTGGTGGATCTTTCTGTAATGAATGTCAGAATGTTGTGTTCAAATTGACGCTTGTGAATTGTGACAAATGATGCTTATTGTCGCATGGATAGTGCTACCCAGCGAGGCTTTGGGCATGCCCCTCTGGGAAAGGTTTTTGTTGTTATCTTTGTCATCATCACCACCATTCATAAATAGAATTAATAAACGGAATGCTTAATGTGCACCACGTGTTGTTAAGCACTTTAAATGCATCATATATTTCATTTATTCATTTCAGTGATGTTACTGAAGTCATTTTACAGATGAGAGAAACAAAACTTAGAAAAGCCTGGGAGTAAGGAGTATCTCCTTAATAAGGAGAGGAGCCAGGATATGATCCCAGGTATGTCTGATCCTGGGAGTGCACGCTTTTACCTGTGAATACCAGAGGAAAAGTACCACTGCCTGAAGATCATGGAGTGTTAGACACAGAAGGACTCTTAGGCTGGTCTCTGAGGAGGCCCAGTGTGGAAAACTCTCAGGATCTCTAAAACATAAGGCTAGACCCAGACAAGGACTTGACTGCCTCAGACGGGCATAGCTCCAGGAGGCAGCCCAGATTTCCCTAGGAAGCGTTCTCACTTGGCCTTGCCATCCCAGCTTTCACTCACACTTACTGCCCCCTGCCCATTATGCCAGAACCCGACTTTTTAAATGCAAGAATGAATTTGTATCAACGCCGCCATGTTAACACAGACTATTTACTCAGATGTTGTGTGCTAGACAACTTGCCTTTTCCTGATGAGTTCCTAGAGTGCAGGGTGGCGACAAGCTGGCTAGGCTTTGTCAAGCACATACACAAGGTTGGCAAGACCCCAGCCTGACTGAGTTAGCCAGTAGAGATACAACGGGCCACTTCAGATTAGGATAGTTTAATACTTACCTACACAACAAAAGGAAGAACACATTAAGGTGCCAGCCGCCAGTGGTCCTTGTCCCACAAATCAAAATGGAGAATACTGAAACAGATGGGGTAAGATGACGGCAGGGTAAGTTGTGGCATACCCAGCTGCTGAGAAGCCAATTCTAGACTGCAGCTAAGTGGTTCTCATATTCTGCAGCGATATTCTGAGTGGGTGGGACAGAGAGCCCACATCTCAACAGAACCTGGGAAATGAGAAGCTGCCAGGGGAGATTGGCTTGAGATCCTTATAAGCCTCCCATCCTCTCCTGTTCTGGGAAGATCACAAAGCATTCTGCTAAGACTCAGATAAGCTTTGGTTCAAAGACTTTGCCCGTGAGGCCTGTGTGAGGCAACATGGGAGGTTGCCAGGGTGCAGGGTGGAGATGTTCCCTTACAGCTTCCTCTGGCTTGAGGCTTGTTAAGCCTGCCATAGAGAAAGTGAGATTAAAAACCAAGAAATCTGAATTCAAGCCTAGATCAATCCATAATTAGTCAAATGACTTAAGCAAGTACTTAACCTCTCCAGAGCTTGCTTTTTAAAATCCATAAAATTACATATTGTTTTGTTTGTTTGCTTTTGGGGAGGTCTTTTTCCTCTTCTTCGAGTGTAAACCACACAAAGGGATCTTGTCTACTTTATTCACTATTGTAGCCCCAGTGCTTAGAACAGTGACAGGCACATGGCAGCGATTCAACAAACACTTGGTTGAATGAAATGAACTGCAAGATATTTCATTGTGTTTTGTGTTTTGTTAGTATGTGCATGTGCATTCAAAGTCTTAAAACCTACTTTCAGGTCATTTGCAGAAAATTCACAGAGGAGTCCCAGTGAAAATGCCTGTACCTTTCTGTTAGGGGAGCTCAACTGAAAAAAAAGCCCGAGGGAAGACTCATTTAAAGTGAAAGTGAGCAATTACAATGAAGAATGGAATCTTGGCACCCAAATGGATCTTTTATTAGTGCTATTATAATAAATCCTAATGATCCACACCTCTGACACATGGTCCCTTGAGTAATAGAAGAGAGGGGAGGCCAGCTTTTCCACTGTTTTGTTATACACCTTCCACTTCATCTCCCCAGCCTCCCTTTTTCTCTTTTTCTCAGCCAATGCATAGTGTGAAATAGGAAGAGACTACAGGTTAACAGACCTGCCTCTGGTTGTGATTACAGCAAATTGGTCACCTCCCTGCCCGAGCCAGTTTCTTCCTCTTTAAGTGTTATTGTGACACATACGGTTTTCCTTAATTACAACTACATAATGTGTTCTATCTCTCCTACAGATCAAGAAACCATGGCTCAAAGAGATCGACTGACCTGCTAAAGATCACTAATTAGTACTAGAGCCAAGCTTTCTGACTCCGAGTTCAGGTTTCTCTCCACCACAACAGTGGGCCGCTCAGAAGTTCCCTAAGGCCTTGGTCCCTCCCCTCTGTCATCTTCAAGAAGGGGCAGGGATTTTTACTGGCTTGCTCCCTGCTCTGATCTCAGCGTCTACAAACTCTGCCTGGTACATAGCAGGCACTCAATATATACTTGCTGAATGAAAAAAAAAAAAAAAAAGATGGATGAGCAGACACGCGCCACAATGCGTCCTGCGACTTCAAGCAAGTCGCCACCCGTTTCTGGATTTCATCTCGGTCCCCCACCGCAGCGGTGTCCGTTCCGCGCCGCGTTCAACCGGTCCACCAGGGACTGCACTGTGGCAAGGGACCCCACCCAGCAGGGAGCGGCGCCCTTCTTGGCCCCGCCGAGCCTTCGCTGGTCGGAGGGCGGGTCGCGACGAACCGGAAGTTCCGAGGCGCCAGCGCCGCCGCCGCCGCTGCCGCTGCCGCCTTTAAGTGCCGCGTTCGCCGCCTGGGTTGCCACCGGCGCCGTCGCCGAGGAAGGTAGCCGGGAGGAGGCGGCAGCGGGTCGGGAGCGAAGCGGCGCAGGCCCGCTCAGTAGCACGCGTCGGGACGCTCCGGGCGGGGCCGGGGGGGCGCATCCGCCCTCTCCTTCCCCTTCGCCCGCGAGGCCTGGGCCCCAGCCCGGCAGGGCCTGTCCGCCTTACGGAGGAACCGCCCGACGCGCTCTCCCGGTTAGCCCGCCGTGCGGTTTATCCGGCGCGCCGCCCTGCGCGGATCAGAGCCGGTGGCGGGGCCCCGCTTGCCGGAAGAGGCCATACCTGAGATTCCATCCACCAACGTTCACTGGGCGCCCCCTGAGCGCTGGGTGCTGGCCTCCCGGCTTCCACGTCCGTTATCCTAATTGAGCCTCGCTGGGGTTGGGAGCCGGGTAATGCCCGGGCTTACGGAGATGAGGGAAACAAAGCTCAGAGGCAGAAGGATTCGCCTAAAGTTCGACTGTGGCGGATCGGATTCGGACTGAGATTTTTCTGGTTTCCCAGCCGGTGTTCCTTCCTTTTTCCTGTCCCACTCTAGGTCGATTCCCTCCCTGCTTCACTGCCCCCCCCCCCCCCCCCCCCCCCCCCGCTCATTCTCGTTCACCCACCCGGGGCAGGATATATACGTTCCTTTCCCGCTCCCCCACCTCTCCCCCTCACACGCTTTTCTCCTAAGACTTCTAAGACTTGGCATTCCCTCCCCTCCCCCCCGCATTCTCCTCAACATTCTCTGCTACACCTATCCTCTTCTTCCCCATTCACACCTTTCAAGATCTTTGCCCAGTCTGTGATAATCAACCTCTCCACTAGCTCTGGACCCGGAAAAGTGAAATGGCTAGGCTTAAGTGACGCGTGGGGTGTTCAACTGGACGACTGGTTGCCTCTTGGATTGAAAATTAAGAATGACGTTTTAGTGGGTCCAAATTCAGGAGTCCTGAAGCCGTTCTCTAACCCAACACGCTCTTATCTGAGTGAGGGGCTTAGTACATGGGAACATGTCTTGACATCTGAGTCCATCGTTCTTATGCTAGCATAGCTTCACCCTTTTCCCTCCATTGCCACTGACCTTTTCTCACCGCATCTCCCCTTCACCTACTTGGTGAGCCCAGAATTAAAACTGATAACAAAGTAACAAGTGTAATCACAGCTCCTCCTTTCTTTTTCCTTTTACTAAGCCAAAATTTCAACAAGCTTAATGCTTCCTTTTAGGGCAAAGTTACCTAATTCAATTGTTTTCAGACTATAGGTGGAAAGGAAAAGGGCAAAAGTGGAGTGCACTTTAAACGGATAGCGCATTCTTCATCTTATGAAAAAAATTATTAAATGCAAGTTAGTTCCCTTTCCATGAAAATGGCCTGTTTTATAATTTTTACTGGTTATTCTACGGAGTCTGTCTCCACCCAGCTCAGTATATATTATAGTGTAAAAGCAGGAACAGGAACAAGCACAGAGAAATAAATTTTATTAATCATCTGTCATTTTTGAGGATTTACAGTAGCCACTGAGTAACCTCACATTTGTATGCCTTTTATACTTTTTGAAGGTCTTCCATAATTTGCCTTTTAATGTATATATACATGTCAGGATTTAGACTGTGTTTGGATATCCTTTTGAGTAAATTAGGCTGTACATTTCTGAGATTTTTAAAAAATTGTAATTATAATAATCTAAAATGTAGATAGAAAATAATTCAGGCATTATATATTACACCAAGAAGGTTATTTCTGTTTCAGTTTTAAGTACTATTTGAGATTTGAGATTTAATCTTTTTGGCCACATATGCTCCGTTTTAATAATGATCAACAACAGCCTTGTATCTTATCTCATTATCCTGGTGAGCAGGATTGGATGGTGAGAAAAGGAAAGACTCCTGTGAGAAGAGAGCAAGATGAGCAGAGGGATCTATGCTTGAAGTTGAGTCACTTGAAAAAGATCTCTTTGAATGTGGAAGAGATCTGAGCAGATGAAAATACAATCAGGTAGGCATGAGGGAAGGTCCTTAAGTGAAGAGGTAGGGGGGCAGTGAAATATATGTACTGTGCTGAAAATGTATGCTGACTCTCCTAATTTTTGAAGTTAGAATCTTAGGAATGTATTTGAATATAAGATGTTATGGAAACCTGGAACTTAAGTCATTTAGTTACACACTTGTGTATATTACTAAAATTGTATAGTATTAGCTGTATCCTGGAAAATGCAGGATGTACATTTACTATAAGCACATAGAGTAGTAGAATGTCATTTGAACTGTGAAGTTTGTGTGTGTGTAGACAGAGACAGAAATAGTCCAGAGACCTAGTACAACTTAGGAATAGCAGGTAATTTGCTATTAATAAGTGCGCGCTAACACAACTTTTACATAGGAGAGATGTCAAGTTAACGGTGACTCAGGAAGCTGGGCACTAAGCCTTGGGAAGTCTGCCCGCTGAACTTCCCTCTTCTGTTCCCTAGCCTTATTCTTGTGAGCAGTGGTTTGAAGGTGAAGTTCCAAATTTAACAAATGGGGGGTTGAAAAAAATGAGCACGGTTTGTGTAGCTTCTCTCACTTGTCCTTTGCTCTGTTAGGAGTTGAACTAGATCCACTTACGTATTTGATAGAAAGTAGGCCTCCCATTAGCTTTTAGGTGGGCAGTCACCACTGTCATAAACTGCTCCTTACTATCAGTGTGCTAAGTAGCAGTTGAGCTAAATGACTTTTCTCTACCAAACTGTTTGGATTTTGGTCATTGGAAGTAAATGTCCTGTCCTAGTAACATTACAAGTTGGATACTTGATAAAACTCTTGAGTGGGTTTTTTGTCCACTTGTGCTACTGTTACATTGAAAATGGTAATATGTTTCGCTGTAGCATGAAAAAAGACACACTGTTCTGGCCACACACTGTTCTGCCGTAAAGCTTGCCTAGTGTAGTAATTCACAACCCACACCTTCTAATTAATTACTTTTTCTCTGTGGTTGGTAGTTACCACGAACTCTTGTGAACCTGGGAAGCTGAGCTTTAAAAAAGACATCGTATTAAATATACAATCATGTACTGATTGTTGCCCTAGAAGTAGTTAATAATTATGTGAAATCCGTTACATAAATGCAATCTATTTATCTCCCAAATCAAAAAAAGGTTGCTCCAGAATTTTTATGTTGCTTCTTTTTGGTAGTTTCATGAATAATGCGTGGCAGAACATCACACAACGGCTTATGATAACACTTCTTGATATTTTCTCTGATACTTTGCTTGTGTTACATTTAAGTTTTGAAATAAAGGAAAATACATCCTCTTCTGAATTTGTAAAATGAAAAGAAACACCATTGGTAGATGAAATGTTAATATTGTTTTGGGGTTGAACTGGTAAATTGGGTTCCCACTTCAAATATCGATAGTACAAAAGTTAAATGCTTTTTGCATAAACTATTTCAACTAATTAAAGCCGCTTGAAAATAGTATCTTTTTCCTCTCTGAGAGTAAAAGTTGTATAATCTATAATCATAGTTACATAAATTCCTTATAGTCACCAAAAGTGATGGTAAGATAGTGATGTCTAGGCAAGAGCAGAAGACAAAGAAAAATGTACCAGCCAGTTAAGTCTTTTGTTGTTTGGAGTTCTATTTAAAAGGATACAGTATTTATATTTTCATGGGTAAGTGCCCTATTACATTACATTGTATTATTACAAGTACATTGTTGACAGCAATTTTATCACTGTTCTAATTGGTCACAGTTATTTCTGTTAACTGAAGAAGTTCATGTTTATCAAATGTGTTACTTTTTTAAGTGCAAAAACACTTAGCTCCCTTAGCACATTTAGCTTCACTATTGACATGCTCTTGGATGGAACATAGCAGCCAACTGGCATATGGCCTGTTTCCTTCCAGTGTGGGAAAGAAAAAAGGAATTTTGGCAAGAGATATGTAAGGACAGCCTTTATAAAAGGTCCTAAAGCGATTTATAGTCATAGTGAAATAGACATGACCTCAATTTTTAAAAAAAATCTCATTTTTAAACTGAATCGAGAAGAGGGAGCTATTACTTTTACTAGCTTTCATTGCAAATGTGCTGAAGACCATCTTTTTCTTGCCTTTTTTCGGGGGGGGGGAGCACTATCAGACTGTCATTCCGATTAATATAAAAGAAGGCAGGCCTGTGAACAACTAACTTCATGTGCCTTATTTTTCTAGGAAAATGCAACATGGCAGCAGCAATGGAAACAGAACAGCTGGGTGTTGAGATCTTTGAAACTGCAGAGTGTGAGGAGAATATTGAATCACAGGATCGTCCTAAATTGGAGCCATTTTATGTTGAGCGATATTCCTGGAGTCAGCTTAAAAAGCTGCTTGCTGATACCAGAAAATATCATGGCTATATGATGGCTAAGGCACCACATGATTTTATGTTTGTGAAGAGGAATGATCCAGATGGGCCTCATTCAGACAGGATCTATTACCTTGGTGAGTATGAAGTCATAGTTTCTAGGGGAAATTCTTTCTGGATTCAAACTTACAAGCTAGATATAATTGGTGAACAAATAAATGAATCAGTAATGTTCCATTCAAGGGAAAAAAATGATTGGAAGAACTTCAGTTTTGGTGCTGTTGTAATTTCGGTTTGTCCCATTATTTTCACTTGCAGGTACGAAACCATGAGTTGATTGTGGCCTGCCTTTCAGAATCAAAGTTAAAGATGCCAGAAATTACTTCTTCCTAAAGCTAGTTCAAAATGCCTTTCCTTGGGAATGGTCAGATTAGGAACACAAACAGTAAAACCACTCTCATCAGTGGCTACTTTCATTTTTTTTAAACCAAGACTGGATTTGGTGTCTTTTTTTCTGAGCCTGTTCACTCCAGATTTAAGATCCATCTAAATTAAATATATTATGCCACTGACTTACTTTTTTGTTTATTAACCTTTTAAAAATAAATTTATTCCTCTCCTTCAAGATTATTTCATTCATATACATGCATATATTTTTAGAGCTATTCTCTGGATTAGTGCACATCAGTAATTATAGATGCATTTTTTTTTAACAACTCCAGAGTATTCCATTATATAATTGTGCCATATTTACTTAACCATGCCCCTAATAATGGGCATTTAGGTTTTTCTATTATACTGTTAGAAAAGATGATGCGATGAATATTTTCTGTGTTAGATCAATTTGTACATTTGTGAATTTTATTATGTATAGGACTGATTCCAGAGAGTGGAAATGTTGGGACAAGAGTTGTATGTATTCTGAATTTTGGTTGATATTGTCAAATTACCCTTCCATCGAGGGTTTATATTCCTATCAGCATTGTCTCAGAGTATATGTTTCTACACACCTGTACCAGTAGTGGGTAATCAGACTTTTTTATCTTTTCTAGTCTGATTAGTGAACAGCCATCTCATTGTAGTTAGTTTTATAAATTACTATTTTTTTAAGTTGAAGTATAATTGACATATATATTAGTTTCAGGTGTATGACATAAAGATTGGATATTTATATACAATATAAAAGGATCATCAAAATAAATGATCTAGATATTTTATAATAATGTCTAGATTTTAACTAGATATGTTTCACCTTACATAGTTAACAAAAATTTTTTTCAATGATTTTTTTTATGATAACTTTTTTTTTAAGTTTATTTATTTATTTTGAGAGAGACAGAGTACCAGTAAGGGAGGGGCAGAGAGGGAGAGAGAGAATCCCAAGCAGAGCTCAAACTCATGAAGCTGAGATCATGACCTGAGCCCAAACCAAGAGTCAGACACTTAACCAAGTGAGCCACCCAGGTGCCCCACTTACCTACTTTTAAGATCTGTTCTCCTACCAACTTTAAAATATGCAATACAATATTATGAATTATAGTCACCACTCTGTACCTTATATCCCTGTATCTCATTATAGTTTTAATTCCAGTTATAAGTGAGGTTGAGCATCTTTTTACATATTTAAGAGACCTTTATATACCCTTTTCTGTGACTGATTTATTTATAACATTTGTTTTTTGTTGGACTGTGGGTGTTTCTTATTAAAACATTTTTTTTGTATAATGAGGGAATTAAACCATTGTAGTGTTTTCCTCTGAGGTTTAATTTGTCTTTTGCCTTTAGTGCCTTTTGCCACATAGAAATTTGTGATTTTTTTTTTTTTTTTTTTTTTTTTTTTTTTTTTTTTTTTTTTTTTTTTTTTTTTTTTGATAGTTAAATTTGTATTCTCTGTAGGCTTTGGCATCGTATCTAGAAAGGCTCTCCCTGGGGCGCCTGCGTGGCTCAGTCAGTTAAGCGTCCAACTTCGGCTCAGGTCATGATCGCACAGTTTGTGGGTTCAAGCCCCTTGTCAGGCTGTGTGCTGACAGCTCAAAGCTTGGAGCCTGCTTCGGGTTCTGTGTGTGTCTCTCTCTCTGCCCTTCCTCACTTGTGCGCGCGCTTTCTCTCTCTTTCAAAAATAAATAAACATAAAAAGAAAAAATTAGGCTCTCCCAACTCCAGGATTATGTCATTTAAAATCTGTATATATTTTGGACTTTCTGTTTTGTTCCATTGCTCCCTCAGATCGAGTGCAGCATAGTATTACTATTATTGTTATCATAGCTCTATATGTTTTCCTATTTGGTAGCACTAGTCACCTTTCATCACTCTCTTTCATATTTGTTTCGGCTATTTTTGTTTGCTTGTTTTTCTATGAACACTTAAAAATAGCCTAGATAGCTTTTTTTTTCCTAATGCTGTTTAAACTCCTTTAGGATTGATGTTACATTTATAGGTGAAGTTAGGGAAAATTGACAGTCTTCAGAATTTTGAGCTCTTCAAGAAAGTTGTATGCCTTTTCGTTTGTTCAAGTCTTTTATATTCATCTGAATTTAAAATATTTTTTTGTATAAATCCATTGTTCTAAAAGTTTTAATATACTTTGAACACCCATAAGTGTGTTCTAGTGTGTCATCAGGAGAGAAACAATGGGAAAAGTTTGTTTTGTGCTTATATGGAACTGGTGTGTGTGTGCCTAGAATGCCTTGGAAGTTTTTATTGGTCACATATGAAGCCAGGGAAGACATGGAACAAGGCACAGTTTCAAGAGGTTCAGCTGAAATGATTATGGGGAATGGTTCTCATTTGAAAATAGATGAGAACCAAGTTTTTCATGTTTGAGGGCTGAAGACTCAAATCTTTTTTTTTTTTTTAATGTTTATTTTTGAGAGAGAGACAGCATGAGTGGGGGAGGGGCAGAGAGAGAGGGAAACATAAACCTGAAGCAGGCTCCCGGCTCTGAGTTGTCAGCACAGAGCCTGATGCAGGGCTTGAACTCAGAGACCACGAGATCATGACCTGAGCCAAAGTCGGACGCTTAACCCAGGCGCCCCAGGGCTGAAGACTCTTAGAAGGAGAAGGCTTAAGGAAGATATGATCACATTTTATAAAGTTATGAGTGGTATAGATAGGTGACTGCCATTCTGATAATTCTTTAACAAAGTAACTCTAGAATTACAGAATAGGTTTAAGACGGAGTCAAGTTCTAAAGTGAATGTCAGTTGATATCTTTTTATTCCAAAAGGCAGTACAAATTAAGAAAGCTTAAGAACAGTTTAGGAAAATAAAGAAATAAAGGAGGACATGGATATTTGGGGGCTCATCCCCAGCCTTTGCAGGGGTTAGCATGGAAGTTACCATGCCCTTCCATAGACTACCTCCTCTGCCATTATCACAAACACTAGGCTAAGGGGGCGTCTGGATCGCTTGGTCGGTTAAGTGTCCTACTTCGGCTCAGGTCGTGATCTCACGACCTGCTCTGCTTGTCGGTTCGAGCCTGGTGTTGGGCTCTGTGCTGACAGCTCAGAGCCAGAAGCCTGCCTCAAGTTCTGTGTCTCCTCTCTTTGTCCCTCCCCTGCTCATGCTCTGTCTCTGTCTCTCATAAATAAACATTAAAAAAAAAAAAATTAAAAAGAAAAAAAAACACACTAGGCTGAGGATCTGTTCTAGCCAAGAGAGATTTCCTTGGTCTTCCTGTTGTGCTTTATTTTCTTCTTCCTTCACTCTCCCCTAGATTTTTTGGAAATGATACCATTCTAGCACATTTTATGGTAGAAGGGATTTGTTTTACTTTGAATTTTCTTTGGTTCACATCTTCATAATCATAATGTGTTTCTATTACTTCTCTTTTGTATGTAGTTCATTCCACACTGCTGTGATATTCCCATTCAGTTACTGCATGATTTCACAGAATAGACCTGACTTCTACTTAGTATAGACCTCTTTACTTCATCCTTCCCCAGTAAAGAACAAAGAGATTTTTAGCAAATCAAATAGCAGATTTTTGTTTTGTTTTAATGAGTATACTTAGATCTGAAATGTATTACATTTCAGTAATGTAAATGTATTACTGACTATGGTTATAGGATATTTATAACAGGAAAAACTAGTATTCAGTTAGATCTATGTATACTTCTAAATAACTATTTTTTAGGGGCACCTGGGTGGCTCAGTTGGTTAATTAAGTGTCCGACTTTGGTTCAGGTCATGATCTCATGGCTCTTTGTGCATGCTCGCTCGCTCTCTCTCTCTCTCTCTCTCAAAAATAAATCAACATAAAAAAAAAATTTATTCAGAGCATTGAGGGAAAAGGGCGGAGAGGGGAACTGCAGACACAAAAAAGTTCAGGCTCCAGGTTCCATGCTGTCAGCACAGAGCCCAACATGGGGCTCAAACCCACAAACCGCGAGATCATGACCTGAGCTGAAATCGGAAACTTAAATTAACGACTGAACCATCCAGGCAACCCCTGGCCCCTAATTTTTTTTAATAAGTATTTTTATTTTTATTTTTTTAGTTTTTTAATGTTTTATTTATTTTTGAGAGAGAGAGAGCGTGAGCGAGAGAAGGGGCAGAGAGAGAGACAGACACAGAATCCAAAGCAGCTCTAGGCTCGAGCCTGTACAGCACAGAGAAGAGCATGAGGCTTGAACTCATGGACCGTGAGAGATCCACCTGACCCTGAGCTGAAGTCGGACGCCTAACCACCTGAGCCACCCAGGTGCCCCAATAAGTATTTTTATTTTTTTAAGTTTATTTATTTATTTTGAGAGAGAGTACAAGCAGGAGGGGCAGAGAGAGAGAGGGAGAGGGAGAATACCAAGCAGGCTCTGCACTGCCAGCACTGAGCCCTCCGTGGGGCTTGATCTCACAAACCGTGAGATCATGACCTGAGCTGAAATCAAGAGTTGGATGCTCAACTAGGTGAGCCACACAGGCGCCCCTAAATGGGAATTTTAAATGATTCAGGAGAAGAAGAAACTTAGTAACCAGAAGTTTCCACAAAGCTCCATGCTTTTGCGTTTCATGAATCTATTGCCAACTTGTAAGAGGACTTAACAGTTTTCAAAAAACTAAAAAGATATTTGTCCTTACATCGTCTTACACACTTTCACGTTTGTTTTGAGAGGGTCCAGGATCTGAATATTGAAATGAAACTTGAGCATTCTTCTGTGAATCCTGGGTTTTACTGAAGAAAATTCCCGTGGCAAATGGCATGTGCATCTCCTACCTGTTAACCTTCCCAGAGAGTGCAAAACTTCGCATTATGTAGAAGGCTTTATGTTCTTACTACTACGATTGCAGTAGACTGCTTTTTCTGGAAATGATTTTTAAATGATTATTTTTCTCTTATAGCTATGTCTGGTGAGAACAGAGAAAATACACTGTTTTATTCTGAAATTCCCAAAACCATCAACAGAGCAGCAGTCTTAATGCTCTCTTGGAAGCCTCTTTTGGATCTTTTTCAGGTAGGATTAAACATTGCTATTCCTGTGATTTGGTGTACATTTTCAGATGCCTTTATTAAGAGGCAGAAATTCAAGTGGGTTTTATATTTGAAGTAGATGTGAATCAAAAAGAATGAAAACATGTTTATATTTTTGAATGTATGACTGTTAAATTCCATTTAATTCTCAACATCTGAAACTAAGGGATGTTACAATTCAGGTTTCAAAACTACTTTCTCCCTGTTAAACCACCTTCCCCTTCTATAAACTTGTTAGTTATATAGTTCTCACATTTTGGGGGAGGAGTTATTCATATAAAGGCAGATATATGTTTCTGCCTTTATATTTATATAAAGGCAGATATATAGTTCCAGAAAGCTTTTGTTTAAATTTTTAAATTGAATCTTTAGTTTTACTGCTTAGTAACAGTGCTAATGTAAGGACACTAAGTTCAGTTTTTATTTCTAAATAGTATAATACAATTTATGTAGAATCAAAAGCTTAGGGGTTGTTAGGGGGGTTTTTTTGTTTGTTTGTTTTCCTCAATATTTTATCTTTAGACAAAAAGCAAATAGCTGAAAACATCCCAAGAACAAGATGACAGTTTGGGTGTGATCGTTTGCCCTTTTGGTTCTCATTTATTATTTTACATTGAATATTTCCTTACTAAATAGCATTTTGGGTTAAATGAGCTAAATGTGATATTATTCTTAGGAATTAAAAAAAATAATTTCTATGATAACTAATCATTTTGACTGCAAATATATCACTGTTGTTTTTTACATAGACTTCATGACTTTTCTTTAAAACAGAAAAATTACTGTTTTTAAGAACCAAAATAATGGTAGTTTTCTAATGAAACAGTTTGCAAAGTAATAAATCAAACTTTTATTTTAAACTTTTATTGTGGAAAATTTCAAACTAGTAAAATTGTATGTAATTATCAAGAATTATCAAATCTTGGCCATTTACATTTTATTGCAGCCCTACCAGTCTCCCCTTGCAATCCCTACCCCCACTTCTTGGATCATTTTGAGGCAGAGCCAGATATGTTGTTTCACTCGTAAATAAGTCAGTGTGTGTCTAAAAGATACAAATTCTTTTTAGAAATTACCACAGCATCATTATCATAACTTTAAAAACTGCTGATCTTTTTTTCATATGAAATATTCAACTGGTGTTCAAATTTCCCTGATATTTAAATAAAATTTCTCTTTTTTTACACTTGATTTGTTCAAATCAAGATCTAAATAAGGTTCACATGTTATAATTTATTAATAGGTCTCTTTTAATCTATTGGTTTTCCCCTCTATCCTTTTTTTTCCTCGTTGTACTTTATCCATTGAAGAAAGAAGGTTTTGCTGATTGCTTATCTGTGGTGCTGTTTGATATGTTTTTTGGCCCCCGTATTTTCTGTAAATATGAATAGGTAGTTAGATCTAGAAACTTGATCAGACCCAGGTTTGCTTTTTTTTGAAAGCAGGGTCTCGAAAAGATACTTGTACACCCATGTTCATAGCAGCATTATTCACAATAGCCAAAAGGTGGAAACAACCCAAGTGTCCATGGACAGATGGATGGATAAACAAAATGTGGTATATACATACAATGGAATATTATTCAGCCTTAAAAAAGAAGGAAATTCTGACATGCTACAGCATCGATGAACCATGAAGACATTATAATAAGTGAAATAAGCCAGTCACAAAAGGACAAATACTATATGATTCCACTTATATGAGGTACCTAAAGCAGTCTAATTCATAGAGACAGAAAGTAGAAGCTGGCTGCCAGGGGCTGGGGGAAGGGAAGAATGGGGACTTGTTGTTTAATGGGTATAGAATTTCAGCATTGCAAAATGAAAAATTCAGAGATGGGTTATACAGCAATGTGAGTATACTTAACACTACTGAACTAAACACTTAAAATAGCTAAGATGGCAAATTTTATGTTATATGTATTTTACCACAATGTAGAAAAAAAGAATACTTCTTAGATAAGGTTTGCTTCCATCAGGAGGCATGTAGAACTTTATTTCTCTTCTTGTGATGATAGCACCCTTTGGATCATTGCCAAAATCCATTAATTTATGAGGAGTTAAAAAATGGTGGTATTTTATCATTCCTTCTTCATTTATTAACTGAAATACTTCTATAAAAAGAAATTGCTATTCAAAAACTCAAGAAACAATGGAGAGGCAGAATAAATTTTGATTCTTTCCCCTTATTTATCATTTTTCAAATAATTTGTTTCCTGTAGTCCTTCATAGGTGATCACCTAGGTTTTTCAGAGGAATGTGTTTTTTGGTGTGTGTGTGTGTGTGTGTGTGTGTGTGTGTGTGTGTGTGTGTGTGTGTGTGTGTGTGTGTTAGTGTGGTGTGTGTGTGTGCATCCATCCTCATAAACTTGTAGAGTAAGCCTATTTGATGTTTTTTGATCCACTGACAGTTATTATTCTTACTGTACAAATTGTCTTATTTTTGGCTGGTGACAGCCCCTTCAACTTGACGTGTCAAATCCTTTTGGCATGATACTTGCTGCTATAATGAAGATTTTCCACCTTACACATTGCCTATTGCATGCTTGGAGTCCATCTGTTTCTGCCGGAGACTCTAGTTCCTTTGCAGAAATAGTATTAAGAGACCACGATGTAGATTACTAGAAAGATATGCGTATTGGGTTGTCATGGTTTCTACAAGGTTTTTTTATTGAACAAACTAGGGAATATATACATTCTGTGTGTATGTATGTGTGTGTGTGTATTATTATTATTGTTTGAAATGTAGGTATCAATATGTATCCAAATCAAGTCAGATAAACCATAATGTCAGACTGATGTAACTAATTGAAATTTTACATACAGAATTTTTCTTTAACCTCATTTATCTTACACATGAATCTCCTTTCTCTGATGCTAAATAACAGTTTAAATAACATATTACTCATTTGCTTTACTCCATATTACACACACAAGTTTCAAGATAACAAAGGAATCAACACTATGATTACCCACTAGCAGTAACTTAGGTGTTCTTCTCATTTATTGGTTATATTCCCTTCTATCAGTTGAGTGCATTCATTTTGTTTTCAAGTGTTAGGAATTCCTTTTAAAAAAAATTTTTTTTTAATTTTTTTTCGTTTATTTATTTTGGACAGAGAGAGACAGAGCATGAGCAGGGAGGGCAGAGAGAGAGGAGGAGGCCACCAGATGGGAAGCAGGCTTCAGGCTCCTGAGCCATCAGCCAGAGCCTGTGTGAGAGCCTCAGACTCAGGACCCTTGGACCTGGGCTGAAGTCCAGATCTTAATAGCTGGGCCACCCTGGCCCCCAAAGGTACTGTCTTTATTTTTGAGAGAGAGAGACAGACAGACAGACAGAACTCAAGTGGGAGAGGGGCAAAGAGAGACGGAGATACAGAATCTGAAGCAGACTGTAGTCTCTGAGCTGTCAGCACAGAGCCCAACGCAGGACTTGAATCCACAAACTATGAAATCATGACCTGAGCCAAAGTTGGACGCTTAATCTACTGAGCCACTCAGTTGACCCAGGAATTCCTTTAATTTTTAATTGAATTTTGTTGTATAAAATAGTTACAGGATTCCAAATTCAAATCCACAGAACAATGTATTCAGAGAAGCTCCCTGTCTCCTCCAATCTGTTGCCCTCCCTCTCCTTCTAGATAATGGTTTTGTTTCTAAATAGCTTATCCCTTTTAAACAATGTGAGTATATAGACATTCATATCCCCCCCTTAGAGAAATAGTAACATCCAATATACATTTTTCCACCTTGCAATTTTCAAGTAACAATGTATCCTTCAGATCACTCCACAGGGATACATACATGATTTTTATTTCTTTTTACGTATGTTGTGTTGTGCAGACTAATCATAGTCAACCAGTTCCCTATTGGTGGACATTTCAGTTATTTCCAGTTCTATTATAAATAGTATCACAGTGGAATGGCTTGGGCATACACCTCTTTATAATTTTGCCAGTATGTCTTTAAGCTAGATTCTTAGAAATAAAATCACTGGACCAAAAGGTCTATTCTTTTGTAAATTTTCTAGATAGTACCAAATTTCCCTCCATAGGAACTGTGCCATTCGAATTCCCACTAGCAAGATTTGTAAGTGTGCCTGTTTTCCCGTAGTTCTCCAACACAATAAATATATGGTTGTACATTTGGATTTTTGCCAGTCTGCTAGATGGGAATAGTGTCCCAGTATAGTTTAATTTGCATTTCTGTTACAGGCAAAATTGATCATCTTTTTATACAGTTTAAGGCTACTTGCATTTCTTTCTCTGTAAATTGTTTATTATATTTCTAACCCATTTTTCTGTGGGGTGATAGGTCTTTTTCTTTATTCTTAGAAGCCTTTAACCTACTTAAAGAAGATATTAACCTTTTGCCTGTGATACAGTTGGCAAATATTTTCCCCAAGTTGTCATTTGTAATTTTACTCTCTTCATGGTAGGGTGGGCTGGGTGTGTGTGTGTGTGTGTGTGTGTGTGTGTTGGTCATGTGAAAGATTTTTATATAATAAAATATATCAGTCTTTTCTTTATTTCTTTTGGATTTTATTGCTTCTAGAATTTGTGTCTTCTCTCACAGTTAGAACAGTTTTTTCCACACCCAAATTATAAAAGAATTCAATCATGTTTTCATCTGGTACTTACACGATTTCATTTTTTAAAGCTTTATTGAGGTGTAATTGACACGTAATAAACTGCAACTATTAAAGTATACAATTGATAGATTTGGGCATATGTATGTACCTGTGAAACCATTACCTCAGTCATTACCCCCAAAAGTTTCCTTGTACCCTTCGGTAATCTTCCTACCCATCTATCCCCAGGCAACTATGGTACCAGTCATGTACAGTCTTTGATCAAAGTTTTATCTCTTAAATATTTCAGAGATTTTTTTATTCTACTGTAAATGGTATTTTCTAATTTCAGTTTCTGGTTGTTCATTGATAATATTTAGAAATACAATTGATTTTGTGTATTGATCTTGTCTTG